CACGCAAAATGTAAGGACAATGGGAGGAGTTGACACAGCTTTAGATCACCACGTGGTGGTAGCCAAGAGAAAACTGAAGCTAAACAAGCACTGTAAAAATAGCACAGAAATATATAAAGCATCTCTTTGTCTAAATAACGAGGAAGAACAACTGGAAAAATCAAAACAGCAACCTCAAAATCTCAGGTTCTCAGCCCCAAGAATTACCAGCACCAAGGGAATCTCTATCGATTACCTGGGCAGGATTCAAGGAAGGGAAAACAAGACAGTAGTCAAAAACAGCTGAAAAAGAGCAGAGGAAGCCAAGGAGCAGGCTGAATATGCAGAAGCAAAAAAAAAACGAGTGAAGAGCATCAGAGCTAACAAGTGAGAATATGTAGAACATCTATCAACTACAACGGGAAAGCCGACCAGTCAGTCATATGCAATGCACAACCTGACACATGCGCACCTTGTTTCGAAAAACAACATCCCGTTAGCCCATTATGATGAAATTGTCAAGGAAAACTGCAGAGTATAAGAGGTTGTAGTAGTATTAGTGGTTACAGAGATCAGGCATGAAGAATAAGATACCTCACCACTGACAGAAGAAATCGGCAAGATCATCGGACCAGACAGAATAACAGCTGAAGCACTGAAGTCATATATAGAGGTAGCTGCAAAGATGTTCTATGTTCTATTCAGACACGTTTGGGAAGGAGAATAAGAACCAACAGAGTAGAGGGATAACTCACCAACATACCAAAGAGAGAAGAGCTTAATAAGTTTGAAGCACCACACTACTAACAGTGTCAGTGTTGATGAACCGAACAAAAAACTAAGTAGGTGATCAACTCTGAGATTAACAAGTTGGATTTCGTGAAGATTAATCATGTACTGATTAAATTAAGACACTAAGGATTATTGTCAAACAATTAACCGAATGGAATTAATCATTGCACATCGACCTCCTTGAATATGAGAAGGCCTTCAACAGTGTGGCTAGGAAAACTTCGTGAAGTCTCGGACGCAGGTTAAAAGATAAAAATATCCATTTGAGTCTGGTAAATGTCCTACCAAATCCAAATGAACATGGTTGAAGCGAGCATCGGAAGTTTTAAATGAGCCTAAGAGACATTTATTATATCTAATAACCTTAGATTTTTGTCAGCTTACTCAGGAGCGTGCCCACTCCCTCTCGTCTTTATTCATACCAGGCCAGCAAAACCGTTCTGCTATAAGCTTGATAGTTGCACGAACACCTGAACGAGAAAGTCTGTGCAACGCATTGAAGACGTTATGTCAATATTGTTTCGGCACGATTGGACGATCCCTACCTGTAGATGTGTCACACAGTAGGGTTTCCTTACCTATTCCCACCTGTGTCATGCGCAGTTTAAGTGTTGTTGAGGACAACTCCTGCTGAAGATCAATGTCTTCTTTTTGAAGCTGGGCGAGTTTTGGGAGATCGATTCCTTGGAAACTGTTCAAGGAAGTTATTCGAGACAAGGCGTCTGCAACTACATTGTTTGCTCCAGAAATGTGTCGAATGTCTGAAGTAAACTGCGAATTGTAGTCCAGTTGTCGAGACTCACGTTGTGAGTACTTGTCCGAAGGGGAACTTGAGGAGAAAGTAGGTGGTTTATGGTCAGTAAGAATGGTGATTTCTCGGCCTTCGATAGGGTGTTGAAAATGCCGTACATAGCTAGGAGTTCCCTACAGAATGTGCTGTGTCTCGATTCAGTGTCTAGCAACCGTCTGGAGAAAAATTCCAAAGGTTGCCAGGAGTGGTTAGCTCACTGTGGTAAGACTCCTCCGATTGCTGAGTCGGATGCGTCTACTGCGATGCTAATGAGCGCTTCAGGGTCCTGATGAGCAAGCATGGTTGCTTGAGCGATACGTTCCTTAACTGTGGAAAATGCTTTTCGCGCGGTGTCATCCAGATTGATGGATTTCGCATTTCCACGAAGTTGGTCGGTAAGGGGTTTCATAAGGGACGCGCATTTTGGTATGAATCGTCTATAAAAACTTACCAGACCGTTAAACGTGCGCAATTGCTTGATGGTGGTCGGTTCTGGGTAATCCAGAATGGCCGCCAATTTTGTTCTAAGGGGTCGGATACCTGGCGCATCGATAGTGTGTCCTAAGAAGTCTAAGGAGTCGGTTCCGATTTGGCATTTCTGAATGTTTACGGTAATGCCGTGTTTTTGTAGTCGGTCGAAAACAAGATTCAGATGCTGGAGATGCGATTCTCTGTCCGGAATTGCTATTAGGCGGTCATCAACATACGCATGTACGAAGTTGAGACCTCGAAAAACGTCGTCTATGAACCTTTGGAAGGTCTGTGCCGCGTTTCTCAGACCAAAAGGCATTCGCAAAAATTCATAGAGTCCGAAGGGCGTTATAATAGCGGTTTTCGGAATGTCGTCAGTGGCCATAGGAATTTGGTTATACGCTTTTAGCAAGTCGGTTTTCGAAAAGACAGTTGTACTTTTCAAGGTAAATGTCAAGTCGTGAATGTGAGGCGACGGGTAACGATCGTGAATGGTTTTTGCATTCAATCGCCGATAGTCACCAGATGGACGCCAATCGTTGCTATCCTTTTTAGGGACCATGTGAAACGGAGATGCCCATGGGCTATTTGACCATCGTATGATTCCTAAGTCTATCATGTGGTCAAATTCGTTTTTCGCCAACCTTAACTCTTCGGGGGCCAGTCGGCGTGCTTTGGAGAATACAAGTGGTCCTGTAGTCGTGGTGTGATGTGTAACGTTGCTGGTTGCACACGGCAATTTCGGTCGCGATTGGTATATCCCAGAATACTTATAGAGCATTGGTTGGTAGAAGGGGTCTATAGTGTGCTTAATTGTGACTAGATAACCTGTAACCCTAAAAAGAAGTTACGCAAACAGATAAATTAGTATTACCGTCTACTAGCCTCCGTTTGCGTGTATCGATGATTAGATTGTGGTGCTGTGGGAGGTCCATACCAATGATTAGCATAGAAACATCTGCAACAACAAAGATCCAGTGAATGGGTTTGCATAAACCCACGTTAAGATAAACGTACCTTTTGCCATACGTAGCGATAGTCTTTCCATTTGCCGCCTGCAGATTTAAAACCGACTCGTGAAGCCGATCGTTAGAATTCTTTGAGAGAACGTTAATTTCTGCGCTAGTATTGACGAGGTAGAAAACTCTCGTTATCACATCTGTGACATACAACAGACGGCTATGTTCGCCGGCTACGGTTGCCGTTAACGCGTGCCGGCTTGGAAGTTTCCCGAATCGTTTTTCTTGTCGATCGATTTTGAGTTGGCAAAATTGCAGGGTTTTCTGTGGTTTCTGGATGACTTTCCATACTGGTTATGATACCAGCACTAGTCGTGGTTATCCGTCTCTCGAGGTCTAGAGAAAGATCGCCTACGTGAAGTGCTTCTTCGTGGGGTGTGTGACCGTTTACAGTCGTTACGAAATTTAAGATAACGTGTAAGTGTATGACATAACTCCGTGTTGCCATTCTGGGTCATTTGAGGCTTTTCTTTGACTGAAAAACCTCGTCATTGGAAGATTTTGTGATTTCAATAATGCGGTCGGAAGATTCAGCCAGCTCGTCTACGGCGTTGTTTTGGAACGAGACCAGCACAGCTTGCACCTGTTGAGGAAGCTTTGATAAGAAAAGCTGTTTAAATAGGCCATCCTCGAAGGTTCTTTGGCCAATTACTTCTCTCATTCTTTGCAACATGTCTGTGGCAGAGCAGTGTTGCAGGTCGATGTTGTTAAGGAGTTGGTCTAACCTTTGTCGATCGGTTAGATCTCTGCGTTTAAGGATAGATCGTATAAGAGTTTCGTGTTGTTCAGAAACATCGCTAGTAAACATACTAGGTGTTACATACTTGTTGAATTCGCGCGGTAGTACCATGACTACTGCGATAAATTGTGCACGTGTGTCATTCACGCCGTGCTCGCAGAAGCCGGCTTCTGCGTAGCAAAACCAGGCTTCGATGTTGTCTGGTCAGAAGGGCATTAGTTAGAACGAAGGTGGAGACAGTCTTTAACCTAAATACCTTAGGTGTCTGTTCAGTCGTAGTGAAATATCCAGTACGAGAACGAACGAGTGGGAAATATATATATCCAAAAATACGGAAAAAATATCACAATGTATACAAAATTAAAATAAGGCAATGATATATAAAATCACAAAAAAAGAACAGACTCACAGTTCGCAATTTAGTGTACCAGATCACGCCGGGCTCACCAATGAAGATGCCACAGGTATTCGGAATTTGACAACGCTGTAACCAGTAACACCTAATATGAAACGTACCCACCAAGTGAAATCAAAAGACAGAAGCGAGGAGGTTCGAAGATATATTTGATATTCTATCAAGATATCGAGGATCGTTTGATCTAATCTGGCTAGCGATTGCAGTAGATGTTGAGCACGGCGTCCCCACACATGATCTGGTGAGGATGCATGACCGAGCGCCTTCAGCTTGATGAGTCCATTAAAACTGATGTGGTCAGCATCTACTGTCGAAAACTTACAGAGCTATTTATTTTAGGGATTTATATACCGCTACAAAGGGCATCTCACAGATGCAGTCCAGGTGAAGACCAATGTTAGACAAGGCTGCTCACCGTCGCTTTTTCTCTTTCTTCTGGTGGTTGACTGGACTATGAAGGCATCTACATCTTAGGAGGAGCAATAAATACAGTGGACACCCTGGACACAGCCAAATCATTTGAACCTCACATACGACTTAGTTCTTCCATCCCATACACAACAACAAATGAAGGCGAAGGCCGCCAGTGTAGTGACAGCTTCTGAAGAATTATACCTCAACATTCACAACACAGTGAGCAACCACAAAATTATGTGATTCCTGAACCTTTAGATTACTTATCTGAAATTGCACTTAAAACTCACAGTGACTTGTCAACAATGGAATAACTCAAGCTACTCACATTTCGTCTTCAACGCACAATACTAAAATCTAAATGTGAAACTAATTACGAATATTGTACTTGGAATCGAACGTGGGAAATTCTTTGGTTGGGCTACCAACGCCCTTGGTTCATGCTTTGTTATTTAGGTCGTGGTCACTTTTTTAATATACCGAATTTACGACCTTACCAATCTCTCTTGCTCTCTTACTCCAGTTTGTTCAGATAAGGTTTATGTAAGTCTACCTTACTTTAGGAAAAATGGAAAAACGGACCCAACCCAAATGGTTCACTCCAGTTCAAAATGTTCAGGACGGACAGTTACCAAATCTCTACCTTTATAACAGCTTAACGTCACAAAAGGTAAAGATTGGCTTTTTATTCTGTATTCCCCAGGATCTATTTATCCCGCAAGATGGGAGGCATGTTAAGTGGTATACATGCGGTCCCACCGTGTATGATGTATCGCATCTGGGCCATGCCAGGTTTATATTCCAATTCATATTTACTAATGCTCTGAAGGACCTACGTCGCATTTGACGTTATTCGTCGTGTTTTGGTTGATTATTTTAATTTTAAGGTCACTTACGTCTTAAATATCACTGATATCGATGACAAGGTACAAAACATATTCTAACCAGCACCTATGTGCCTCTGCAGATTATTAAGCGTGCTCGACAAAATCACTTGATCAGTGATTATCAGCTCAAAGATCCCGATCTAGCCACAGTTGTCGGTGATATTGCCAAAGGAATTCAGGTATAGTTTTACCACATTCCAAATTTTTCGTAGATGTGTGTTTTGATTTTTTATTAAGTTTACGCTAATGAAAACTTAACCACCGTATTTCAAATTGCCATTAGTACATAAACTTGATTTATCATAAACATAATTTAGAATCCCATGGTATTTGAGACAAGCTGTTTAGTTGGTCAATGTAAACCATGTTATTATTATTATTATAAGCCACACTGACTTAAGAAGAGTTGCATATATTGCATAGCAAGGTCCTATACGAGTAGTAGGAGTTATCGAAGTTAAAGTCCTTACTAGCACAACCTTCGGTGAAACTATAATTTATGGTCGACCTTGGAGCAACGCTAGAGTGACCTCTATAGTGTCCATATAATAACTAGGACCAAATGAATGTTATAAACCAGTGTGAGGAATTAGTATTACGATTTACAGTTGATGGTCAAGGTCAGGAATTAGATTGAAGGCTTTCATCACGAACGGACATAAGATATAATGCCAAAACAGTATTTTGCCGAATGTATGAATGAAGTTTGCGACATAATTCATGACCTGTTATCTAATACCTGATTAGTTCGTCCTTAAATTGTCTCTCCAACAAGTAAAAAACACTCACCTTTGTTGATATAACAAACCAACCATACGAACTTGAAAGCTTTCATTATTGTCGATAGTATTTATTTATTTTAACACATAGATATTGGTACAAGGAGGTACCAAATACATATGCGCCACACAAATCTCATTTGATATGTGTAAGGTCTGTGATACTGCCCGGATGCCCAGACCGAAGCAGGTGGTTTTCTTAGGGGGCCACACCCCGAGCCTTTGACCTGAAGATCTGATCCACAAGGCAGTGGAGCATCGTGTGGAGATGCAGTCCCATGGTAGCCGGTGACCAACGATTGGTTCATGCGCCATTTGTTCCTTCAGGATATTGGAGCCCATGTGCACCATTGGTTTGGGGTCCGGTTAAAGAGCCGGACATTCGCTTTTCGTCCTCTCATTTTCGTAAACAACACCCCCGCCACGAGAGGGCAGTGAGTAGGACTTCCCTGGCAGATGTTATATACGCGTGGCCATGTGAGAGCATTTGGAGAGGGAAAGCGGACTCTCCCCACTCTCGGCCGTACCAGGGCATTTGGGGACGTCGATAGTATGGAAAGTACATTATTGATAACTGTAGTAAACTTCCGGATTTGGTCAGTAAATTTTGATGTGTGAAATGTTTCAGTTTGATATAGTTGACCTAAATGAAAATTCATTAACGTAGACATAAAACTGAACTATTATAAGCAAAGATGGATGGTAACTAGCAGTAAAATTCAGGACGCGCGTTTTGTCTTATCTGGGGCTCACCAGCTGGGTGTGCCAACATCCCGGAGTAAAATCGAAGGTCATAGATCCTGAGTTAGCAACGTATTCATTAGTTGTCTGTAGTGTATAAAAATGATGTTAAATTTCCTAGCTGTTATTCTTGGCATAACAGTGTCACGAAGAATACTGAATACATATTCTGCAAGGTGTCAAAAGAAGAATATATGGAATTTCCTTCTGAGAATTAACGGACAAAGTACGTTCGTTTATGAAAACCCTAAATTTCGTCTCATACCTTGACAAACAAATCTCGTATTGTTTCATGCAAAACTATACTTATTTAAATCTGGAGGCACAAGGCCAAAAGTTACGTCCTCGTATGAATTCCTAAAAACTAGGTTTTATAAATGTGTTTAGTATCGTATTAGTAATTTTGGATTCCAAATAAACGACGGATTTTCTGTTATTGTGCTTCAACGCAAAAGCTGAAGAATGAATAATATCGCAATAACGTTGTTGTAAAAATAATGATGGGAATATGAATACTAACACGTTTCAATTATGAACATGGTCACGGTAGATTTTGTTTTCCTTACAAGTACAGTCTGCTTGATCCTGTTGGCTCTTTCAGGAAATAGATTGCCGACTAGGGATCTCCAACCAACTATATCTTGAATAAGAAAGATTAGTTCAGCGAAGAGTTCTCTTTTCGGCGAATTCATTTTCAAAGCTGTACAATCGCAAATATATATACTTTTTACGGGATGATAATAGTACTGATAATAAACATTCCCCGCAGCAACATTGAGAATATTATTCTCCAGCCGATCAATGTTTACCAATAATCTGAAAGATAAATTATCGCATCTGACCAACTCAATGTGCATTTACCAATTTACCTGCTCATGTGGAGCTAGGTATATAGGTCGTTCGATGCGTACTTTATCCAAAAGAATTTAAGAACATTGTCCGGCGTGGCTAAAAAGAGGAGGCAACGGCTTAGTAAGAAGTTCTATAATCTAACACCTTGTGAACACAGGTCACTCAATCAAGACAGACCCTGCGTTCAAAGTCATCTACAAGATAAGTAGAAATCTTCCCAAGGCAATTAGACTGCATCTTCGTTGCATCGCCGAAGCAATAACCATATATCTGGAAAAACCAGAATTATGTGTGCAAAAGAGACTGGTACAACATCTTCTTCTACCTTGGTCTTAATGTATTAAAATTTTTCCCTTGTTCCTTTACAGCCATCTGCCTCACCTCCCACCTTCCCCTTAAAACTTCTACCCCCAACTGGTTTATTTCTGTTTCTACGATCCCCCCGATTACATTTAATCTCAATTTCAACATTTTATCTTATCATGCTGAGCCGTCCTTTCCCAATGATAATTTCCTTATCTATGTTTTGATAAATATTTAAGCCATTAACAATCAAATAATTATCAAACTCTCCTTGTTTTTATAAAGAAAATTTTTAATACTTTTGTTTATTTAACCTCACTGTCACCATGTATAACAAGTTTATTATCAGTACTATTATCATCCCGTAAAAATAAGTAAATATATTTGCGATTGTACAGCTTTGAAAATGAATTCGCCGAAAAGAGAACTCTTTGCTGAACTAATCTTTCTTACTTAATGTTTCAATGGGTGTATTCCGTTTATTAAAAAAAATTTGTCTTGGGCTTTCTTTTTTAGTTGCTGCCAAATCCTATTCATGGCTTTTTTTTTGCGCTCGGTTTTCAGCTCCATGTTCTTTGATTTGTCTCTCTTCCTATTTAATTGAGGATTCCATGTTAGTACTTGCCTTGTGGTGTAGTTAAATGGCTTTCACAAAGTGTTCTATCCTCCTCGTACATCTTCTAATTTCCTCATCTGAAAGCTGGCTTATTCTGTCGGTGGATCTTGAATATCCTGTGTATACAGCTGTTTGTGAATACCTGTACATTGTGTTTGAAATTCTGACTTTTATGCTGGATGATAGTTGTTTCGATTTCCAAATATTCTTCAAATGTAAGGCTGTTACCCTTACTTTGCTAATATTGTGCCTTGACATATGCATCAATTAGTCCTTATCTGTCGATAATGCTGCCCAATTATATGTAAATAATTCTGCCAATTCTAAAGCTTCGTCGTCAAGTATTATTCGGTTGGTGCCCACTGTGTTGTATTCCAGAATCCATTGTGAATGTTGAGGTATAATTCTTCAGAAGCTGTCACTACACTGGCGGCCTTCGCCTTCATTTGTTGTTGTGTATGGGATGGAAGAACTAAGTCGTATGTGAGGTTCAAATGATTTGGCTGTGTCCAGGGTGTCCACTGTATTTATTGCTCCTCCTAAGATGTAGATGCCTTCATAGTCCAGTCAACCACCAGAAGAAAGAGAAAAAGCGACGGTGAGCAGCCTTGTCTAACATTGGTCTTCACCTGGACTGCATCTGTGAGATGCCCTTCATGTACGATTTGGGAGTGTAGTCCGTATAACGCGACGATCTTCTCTGTTACTCCATAATGTCCGAGAAGACTTCACGAAGTTTTCCTAGCCACACTGTTGAAGGCCTTCTCATATTCAAGGAGGTCGATGTGCAATGATTAATTCCATTCGGTTAATTGTTTGACAATAATCCTTAGTGTCTTAATTTAATCAGTACATGATTAATCTTCACGAAATCCAACTTGTTAATCTCAGAGTTGATCACCTACTTAGTTTTTTGTTCGGTTCATCAACACTGACACTGTTAGTAGTGTGGTGCTTCAAACTTATTAAGCTCTTCTCTCTTTGGTATGTTGGTGAGTTATCCCTCTACTCTGTTGGTTCTTATTCTTCTTCCCAAACGTGTCTGAATAGAACATAGAACATCTTTGCAGCTACCTCTATATATGACTTCAGTGCTTCAGCTGTTATTCTGTCTGGTCCGATGATCTTGCCGATTTCTTCTGTCAGTGGTGAGGTATCTTATTCTTCATGCCTGATCTCTGTAACCACTAATACTACTACAACCTCTTATACTCTGCAGTTTTCCTTGACAATTTCATCATAATGGGCTAACGGGATGTTGTTTTTCGAAACAAGGTGCGCATGTGTCAGGTTGTGCATTGCATATGACTGACTGGTCGGCTTTCCTGTTGTAGTTGATAGATGTTCTACATATTCTCACTTGTTAGCTCTGATGCTCTTCACTCGTTTTTTTTGCTTCTGCATATTCAGCCTGCTCCTTGGCTTCCTCTGCTCTTTTTCAGCTGTTTTTGACTACTGTCTTGTTTTCCCTTCCTTGAATCCTGCCCAGGTAATCGATAGAGATTCCCTTGGTGCTGGTAATTCTTGGGGCTGAGAACCTGAGATTTTGAGGTTGCTGTTTTGATTTTTCCAGTTGTTCTTCCTCGTTATTTAGACAAAGAGATGCTTTATATATTTCTGTGCTATTTTTACAGTGCTTGTTTAGCTTCAGTTTTCTCTTGGCTACCACCACGTGGTGATCTAAAGCTGTGTCAACTCTTCCCATTGTCCTTACATTTTGCGTGAACCTTCTGAACGTTTTATCAATGAAGATGTGATCGATCTGGCTTTCCGAAGTGTAGTTCAATGAAGGCTTTGTAGGTTTGTGTATGCGTTTGTGGGGAAAATTGTCGTATCTATAACCGTGTTGTTGAAAGTTGATAGACCCATCGATGTTTCGTCACTGTCGTTCCTTCCTCCTAATCCATGTGGTCCTATTATGCGTTCATTTTAGATATTGTCGATCCTGACGTTAGAGTTTAAGTCTCCGATGAGAATGGTCAAGTGTTTTCCTGGTCATTTGTCTACGATGAATTCCATAGTCTAACGAAAGTGATTTTCATGATATTCGGTTGGATGAATGATGGGTGTGTAGTTGTGGACGACATTGGTTGTGATAGTTTTGTTCTTTATTTTGAAGGATTCTTTGATGATTCTGGATGCATGAGTTTGCCATCGTGTAGGGGATTCTTGTACTTCTTTATAGAGTATCTCTACAAGTCACTGTGTGTTGTGTAGCATCGTCATATGTGGGTAATATTTTCAAGACGTGTTTGATGAAGTATCAGCAATTTACACATTTCATACATCCAAATATCACTTATTGTTATACCTTTGTTGGCTTCGTGTATACGAATGTTGTCATTTATTACTTCACGCCGTTCTGTAGCGATCGCTGTAAAGCGGTATCGAGACTTAATGATAGGCAGCTGTCCATTAGAATAAGTTATAAAGTTTTCGGAACCTAGAATCAAACTTCAAAGCACTCCACAATATTTTCGTTTCCATAAGGGTAATTTGGAATTTATTCTTATTTTCTGTGGACGGCCAACCAGAAAGTTTTTGACCCACTTTAGAAAGGACCTGGAAAATCGAATGGACACCATCATACTGTACCTTATCAAATGCTCTATTGATGTTCACTGAGACAGTCCGTCAGTCAGTCAGCTGCAGCGTAGGATCAGGCACCTATATGCATCTGTCCATGTAGCCATATCGCGTTATCACAACAAGATGAACACCGGATTCGTAAAAAGGGTTAATTCAATGGTGGTAATAGATAAAAGAAAGATTGCCCACCGAACCTCTCGGTCTACAGAGTCAAATGCTGCTTTTAGGTCAAGGAAGACCACCATGGTCAGACATCGATAAGTATGCCTGTGTTCTAGAACCTGACGAATGGTGAATATGTGGTCTATGCATCCACGACCAGGTCTGAAGCCAGCTTGATTCTCTTGTGTTTGCAGTTCATGAGTCTTAGTTTGGCGTCCGATAATTATCGAGGCTAGTATTTTAAATGCTATATTAGTTAAACTAATCCCTCTATGGTTGTCACAGGATGATTTTGACCCTTTCTTACATATTGGGACGATAAGTGATTGTGACCTGTCAGAGGGGATTACGTCCAACTCCCAGATTTTAGCTTAAATATTAGTCAATTAAGGGACGAGTATACTGCGCGGCAGTTCGTTCCGTTCTACTATACGGCTGCGAAACATGGTCTTTAAGAGTAGAAGATACTCGTAAGCTACAAGTGTTTGACCACAGATGCCTTAGAAATATTGCTGGGATCACCGGGTAAGTAATAGTGAGGCTAGACGCAGGGTATTAGGGAATGGTGGTAAATCAGTTGATGAGGTTATGAATCTTCATCGACTGAGATGGTTGGACCACGTGTTGTGTTATTTCCATCAGTAGATCTATGATGGAGTTAAACGAAAATTGAGAAAGTGGACAGCATTGACGGATTTTGTGTATCTCTCCCTTGCTAATAGCGATTTTATTGTGATGGATAAACATTTGTTAACCTTACTCTTAATGAGTTATTTTAAGGATGTTTGATGGAATATCAAGAACACACACATTTCATGCTCCGTTTTACTAATCAAACTGGTGCACTTTGTATCCGGCTTTTGATGAGGATTTTCGAAAACTTACATATGGTTCATTGAAATTTCTGGGGTGTAAATGTGAAATATTAGAAACCATATAAATTAAACTAATTTCTCTGTTGTTGTAGACATTTTATTTTGTTGACTTGCTAATGTAAATATACCTAAGACTGCTTTCATGTGTCTTATCTTGTATTTGTTTTTTGCAATACATATTTTTTGTACTGTTCCATTTCGTTTTCAGAAAATTAAGTCCAAAATTGTGTCTGAGACGGATCCAGATAAAAAAGCATACCTAAACAGTGAAGTAGATCGTCTGATATCCCTCCTATCCACTGCGCCACTTGATGAAGAGAATCCAGTTAATTACTTGATACTGAACGCTCGTGATGCTATTGCTGATACCTTGGACGCAGTCTACGGCGCTTCTATCAGTGACCACCAAATATTCGAGGTGTTAGCTAGACATTTTGAAAAGGAATATCTCGTTGATATGGAGTCTTTAAACGTATGTTTATATATGGTTTAATATTATCCGTGCTCACCCAGTTTTTTCTATCTTTCGTTCTTATTATTTAGAGGAATGTTTGTACTACTTACATTCCACAAATGTTAATAAGACACTAATTGTACTGTCTTAAGTGGAGTAGATATTCTTCAAATATCAGGAATCACTCTATATATTGTTACCTATAATGTGTCAGCTACCCATGTAACTAAAACTGTTCGAGGATCTTTTGTTTTATACCACTAGTTAGTCCGTTTTATTCTCTGGTCTCTTTTGTTGCCGTCAGAAAATTTATCAGTTCCATATCTGGTTCATTGTTTTCCTTCGAATTTGTTCACAAAACTAAACATACACTTCCTTTGCTTTGTGTTGTTTTTGTATATTGTCGCTTTTAATTTTCTAATATTTAGTCTTATTTCCTGTTATTCATTATTAGCATAAATTATAATACCCCTGTAGATCATTATTTCTTGTAGTTACGAAATATATATATGTCGATATGCTAGATTGCTGTTTAGTAAGAGGATGAAAAGCTTCCTAGATAAATTGTGGTCAATGTTCATTTGTGTTTTATTTGATTAAATGGTACTGCAACACTTATGAAAAACCATTTGTTTTCTCTAGAACTCAGTTCTCACTTTTTTTTTTTGTGACAGACTATATTAAAGACCACGAATCAATGTCGGTTTTTAGTTTGTAAACACACATATACTAATGCGGTTTATTCACTATCAGTGATGTCCATATTTAGTTCTCTTCATCATGCATCTATTATTATTATTATTGCTCACCGAAAAATTCCAAAAATTCTCTCTAAATCCTTTTTTTGCAGATCATTCCTCCATCAGTACTTGTTCGGGTTACGGAGTATATAGATGCAATAATAAAATACGTGAAACAAATTATAGATAATGGCTTTGCGTAAGTGTTTTTGTAGAAAGTGAAGTTTTATTAACCAGTCTTTTTCTGTAGTTCGTCTAAAAGACACTGAATAGTTTTTTAGGCGTTTTATTCTTGATTTTGTAGTCTCTGTAAAAAAGGTTTATAGTAATACCGTGTGTACACGGAATATTTAACTTTCCCATAGGAGTTTCTCACTTTTATTTAGATTAAATAAAAATGTATCTTTCAAGTTATTTTCATAAATTCACTGCTGTGAAATAGCTATATATTGTTATTTATCAGAAAAAAAGATGAACTACTTTCAAATAATCCGAATATCCAACTATAAATTTATGTGGTAAAACTAATTAATGAATGGCCCTTGAGTAGTACTGAAGTAACTAGAAGATTCACCTATATACTAGGGTCAAAAGAAGGTTGTAAACTATTGTAAGAAATTAGTATTAGGATTTAAAGTTAAACGCTAGGGTTCGGAATTAGAGTTGATTTTTCACCACGAACTGACTTCAACTATAAGGTTAGAGTACTATTTATCCATATGGATGACTGAGTTTCGTGCCAAAATCCAAGATTTATTCTTAATCTGATTGGTTCATTCATAAATTATAGTCTCACCATTCGTGTTCATAGAAACTTCCAGCAATCAAAATCAATAATCTGGTCAGAGTCTATTCAGAGAAATTAATCTAAATTAGCAAATATAAATCGGATCAAAGACAATTCTGCATTCATCTAACAATCTAAATACTCTTACTTACTTACTTACGCCTGTTACTCCTCGTGAAGGAGCATAGGCCGCTCACCAGCATTCTCCATCCAACCCTGTCCTGGGCAATCCTTTCAAGCTCTTTCCAGTTCTTATTCATCCTTTTCATATCTGCTTCTATTTCCCGACGTAATGTGTTCTTTGGCCTTCCTCTTTTCCGCTTCCCTTCAGGATTCCAAGTTAGCGCTTGTCTCGTAATGCAGTTTGATGATTTCCTCAATGTATGTCCTATCCATTTCCATCGTCTTTTCCTAATTTCCTCTTCAGCTGGAAGCTGGTTGATTCTCTCCCACAAAAGGCTGTTGCTGATGGTATCCGGCCAATGGATGTTGAGTATCATGCGTAGACAGCTATTGATAAATACCTGTACCTTCTTGATGGTGGTTGTTGTAGTTCTCCAAGTTTCAGCTCCGTACAGTAGAACTGCCTTGACGTTCGTATTGAAGATTCTGACTTTGATATTGGTTGAAAGTTGTTTTGAGTTCCATATGTTCTTCAGTTGAAGGAATGCCGCTCTAGCTTTGCCAATCCTCGCCTTGACGTCTGCATCTGAGCCTCCTTGTTTATCGACGATGCTTCCCAGGTATGTGAAGGATTCTACATCTTCCAGAGTTTCGCCATCAAGAGTGATTGGATTGCTGTTCTCCGTGTTGTGTTTGAGGACCTTGGTTTTCCCTTTGTGTATGTTGAGGCCTACTGATGCAGAGACTGCTGCTACTCTGGCTGTCTTTATCTGCATTTGTTCGTGTGTATGTGATAGGAGGGCTAGGTCATCTGCGAAGTCCAAGTCTTCTAATTGGTTCTGAGCTGTCCATCGTATGCCGTGGTTTCCCTCAGATGTCGAGGTCTTCATAATCCAGTCGACCACCAGGAGAAACAGGAAGGGAGAGAGTAGACAGCCTTGTATGACTCCGGTCCTTACTCGGAATGCCTCAGTCAGCTGTCCTCCATGCACTACTTTGCACTGTATTCCATCGTATGAGTTCCGGATAATATTGACAATCTTCTCAGGAACTCCGTAGTGTCGAAGAATTTTCCATAACGTTCTCCTATCTACACTGTCAAATGCCTTCTCATAATCAATGAAGTTGATGTAGAGTGACGAGTTCCACTCAATTGGTTGTTCGATGATGATCCGTAGTGTCGCAATCTGGTCTGTGCACGACCGGTCCTTACGGAATCCAGCTTGTTGATCTCGAAGTTGAGCGTCTACTGCGTCTTTCATCCTGTTCAGTAACACTCTGTTGAAGACTTTACCTGGTATTGACAGTAGTGTAATGCCTCTGTAGTTTTCACACTTGCTCAGATCTCCTTTGTTTGGAATCTTGATGAGGTGTCCTTCTTTCCAATCCATCGGCACTTGTTCCTCCTCCCAAATCTTCTTGAATAGAAGATGAAGCATGCTTGTAGTTACTTCGATGTCTGACTTCAACGCTTCAGCTGGTATATTGTCAGGTCCTGCTGCTTTCCCGCTCTTGATTTGTCTGATGGCCATTCTGATTTCTTCGGTCGTTGGTGGATTGACATCTATAGGAAGATCTGTGTGTGCTGCTTCGATGTTCGGTGGATTCATTGGAGCCGGCCTGTTCAGGAGTTCCTCGAGGTACTCTGCCCATCTGTTCCGCTGTTGTTGAATCTCAGTGATTGGTCTTCCTTCTTTGTCTTTGACTGGTCTCTCTGGTTTACTGTATTTCCCTGCTAGCTTCTTCGTCGTATCGTAAAGCTGTCTCATATTTCCTTCTCTAGCAGCTTTTTCCGCCGTCGTTGCTAGTTCTTCCACGTATTTTTGCTTGTCAGCTCTAATGCTCTTCTTCACTTTCTTGTTTGCTCCTATGTGCTCAGCTTGTGCTTGGACTTTCTCTGCTCTTGTTCGACTGTTGTTAATTGCTGTCTTCTTGTTCTTTCTTTCTTTGATCCTGTCCAGTGTTTCTGTAGAGATCCATTCCTTGTGATGATGCTTCTTGGGGCCCAGAACCTCTTGACACGTTGAAGTTAATGTTTCTTTGATACCTTTCCAGCTATCCTCCATAGTAGTTTCTTCTTCCTTCAATAGGTCCTGTAAGGCTTGGAACCTGTTGTTGAGAGCTACCTTGAATTCATTGAGTTTGTCAGTATCTCGAAGGAAGGCTGTATTGAACCTTTGTGGTGCTGTTTGTCCAGTTGTCCAGTTCTTCTTTAGCTTCAGTTTCAATTTGGCCACAACCAGGTGGTGATCTGAAGTTATATCCGCTCCTCTCCTGGTTTTTACATCTTCCATTGTCCTTCGGAACTTTTTATTGATGCAAATATGATCTATCTGGTTCTCTGTGGTGTGGTCCGGTGAGATCCATGTAGCTTTGTGTATACGTTTGTGTGGAAATATTGTACCGCCTATGACCAATTTATTGAATACACACAGATTTGCAAATCTTTCCCCGTTTTCGTTTCTCTCTCCCAGTCCATGTAGTCCCATGATGTCTTCATATCCGGTGTTGTCCATTCCGACTTTGGCGTTGAGATCTCCCATCAGAATAGTGAGGTCTTTTCTTGAACACTTCTCTATGATTGATTGCAGCCTCTCATAGAATTGATCTTTAACTTCGTCGTTGCTATCATTGGTGGGTGCATAACATTGGATAATGTTCATTGTGATCCCCTCCTTCTTTGTTTTGAATGATGCTTCGATGATTCTGGATCCGTGAGATTCCCATCCTACAAGTGCATTTTGTGCTACTTTGGACAGCATTAGAGCAACTCCCTGAGTGTGTGGAGCATTTTCCTCTTTGTGACCGGAGTATAGCAGCATCTCTCCCGTATTTAGCCTTTGTTGTCCAGCTTGGGTCCAATGGGTTTCACTGATTCCCAGCACTGCCAAGTTGTATCTCCTCATTTCCGTTGCTATTTGACTGGTCTTCCCGGTCTCCCACATTGTCCGGACGTTCCATGTACCTATAAAAATTGTTACTCTGGTTGTTAGAAGGGGCATCGACCTCGTGGCTTCCGAAGGAACTCGGCTTTCACCATGAAGCGTCATATTACCTCTAACTCCCAGGGCAGAGTTTAAATGGTTTGAGTTATTTTTTCTGGTTAGCGTTCTTTTAGCGAGTTAGTTTTCTACGGGATGGGGACGCTAACCCCATGCCCAACCCTCCTCCTTTACCCGGGCTTGGGACCGGCAGTAGCCCCCCGAAAGGGACTCCAGGCGGAGTTAATCTAAATACTCGGGATCGATTATTTGTGATCAGTTGGATTACAGAAGTTATTAATAAATGATTGAGGAATGATATCATACTAGTCTCTTGTCTGTTTTGTACTTCGGGCGATATAGCCATCGTTAACAACATGTTATTTATGTTGTTTGGATGTGCTTTCAGCTACTATTAACTACTAATATATCAACGTTTTCGATTTGTTAATTATTTCAAAGTCTGTTCATCTCTGTCTGCGTTTAATATTATAATAATTGGGATGACTAGTATAATTCTGTTCATAGCTGGAATCCCATTGATAATCACTGGATTTCCATATAATATACATAACACTACATACCACAATTTAAACATAACGTATATCAAGTGACTCAGATTCATACAATCGAATAAGATCAACATTTGAACTGTAATGGTTGGAGAAATAGTTTAGTGCAAAATTGTTTTTTAATCTCAAATAGTTCCGTACATAAATTCGGACCAGATTGATGGAGAAAACGTTGGTGAAGCTTTGATTTTAATCACTGAAAAATATCCATATATAATCTCATATTTCGTTGTTGGCCAGTTGTTAGTTTTTGTAAGACTTTGTTTATAACACTGTCGAATGTGTCTATAAACCAGATTAAGATGCTTACTTTTGGCTTTTTTTCTTGTTATCGTTAGATATGTTGCTCCATCTGGATCGGTGTATTTTGATACAAATCGATTTGCAAGTTCTCCTATGCATTTTTATGCTAAGCTTGTGCCAACTGCATATGGGGATACTAATCAATTGGAATCTGGAGAAGGTGAACTGTGTATAACAGGAGAGAAAAGGTCACAGAATGATTTTGCTCTATGGAAAGCATCCAAACCCGGAGAACCTTCTTGGTCTAGTCCTTGGGGTAAAGGCAGACCTGGATGGCACATAGAATGTTCAGTTATGGCTAGCGATATTCTTGGGGATACTCTTGATATACATAGTGGTGGGGTCGATCTGAAGTTCCCACACCATGATAATGAACTGGCACAGTCTGAAGTAAATCTCAGATGCACTTGTAATATTGTCAACTTATTAGTGTGACTAGTTATAGTAGGGTTTATAATATTAAAGAAAAAAAGTTTGTCACAATAAGGGATCAAGAAATGTTCCACTCGCAGCTAGATGATATCACAATCTGATTGGGAACACAACTAGGATAAAGTCTGTTCAGTTAAGGATCTTGATATCTCATTGAACATAAGGAATATGCTAATAAAACACGACAGGAATGCCACTGACCTCTATTATGAATAGTATCGGAAGTCTCAGGCAACTAAGTTGCACGATGTCTAGTACTTCGTGACTCAGAAGGTCACGTCAGGTTTACATATTCTAATCCAGCACAACCATCCTTAATTCTAAGACACTATGTCGTAAACTGAACATCTGTTCTCTCTTTTTACCTCGTTACAGCGTAGATGATTAATAAATCACTGAAATGATTGAAAGTGAACTTACTTAAACGGTTGTTTCCCTCTGTATGATGCTTGTTATTAATTATTTAATAATTAATGTTTATCATGTTTTCTTCTGATGCCTCTCTACAGCATTTATTTTGATGTGTTGTGACATCGTGCTTAAGTTTTATGTTACTAAGTTATATCTACTTTCAAATTGAGTGCTCATTAAATGATCTGAGAGGAACAATAGACTTTTTTTTATCATGTCTTATGAACTATAATACAGACGTTATAATTGTTTATATATCATCTAATCTAATTTTCGTAATTTTCTAAATTTTTTTTCTACTTAGGCCTACTTTGGACATTCTCACTGGGTTAACTATTTCCTTCATTCTGGTCATTTAACTATATCCGGTTGTAAAATGTCAAAATCTTTAAAAAATTTCATAACTATTCGGGATGCACTTAAAGCTCATTCATCTCGACAAATTCGTTTGATATTTCTTTTACATTCCTGGCGTGATACAATGGATTATAGTGCTGATACATTAGCTGAAGCTGTTGGTTTTGAGAAACAGTTAATTGTAAGTAGATTTTATTTTGAAATTTGAATGATCTTCTTTTCTTTGAATAAATAACTTGTAAAATCTAAAACTGGTTTATTGAGATATTTTGTGCTTTAATTCACTGCTAGCCACCATCCATCATCTCTGCTTATAATGCTTGTGACTTAACGCAATATTGAGGTAATCCGTACAGTCCTAAATATAAATAGGAATATTCAAACAACCATTACGAAAATGAATTTATGTAAATAATTGTTTAGGTTTATGGAGAATACAAACAAAGATACAAAAAATATTCATTCGATTGATGTATATCTTGTATGGTGTTAGCTTAGTTCACACAAATTGCTATGTCATTTCAAGCACTATGATTGATGATCATAATTTCATTTGTAGCTATTTACTAGTCGTTTTATATGTACATAATTAAATGAAACACATGTACTGGACAAATATTAGTGTATTTGGCTTTGAACAGTATTCGAATTGTGTGGACTAGTAATATTACTCATTTGTAGCTTGTTTCAAACCCGAGGATTACTGGCTTAAAGTCAAACGTCCTAATCACCGAGTCACCTGTCCACTTTGTCGTTATTTAATTCACCGTTATGACTAGTCCTAACCCTATAACAACGGGCATCAGACCTGATAGGATTCAGTTTTACGAATTTTTCATTTTACTGTTTCCTGTTGTACGTTGTAACGTTTTCGATTTGTTAATTATTTCATAGTATTATCCTATAGACTCATTTGGAGCTGTTATTTGTTTTAGGATTTTTTGTACACCTGTTCAAATATTCAGTTTTTGGCGAAGAAATCTTTGTCGAATAAACACGATTTGGAAGAAACTGAAGACGGTGACTTTAAACAGACTCTTGTGGATATACAACATAAAGTATATGATGCATTATGTGGTAATTGGAAATAAAAATTGTGTTCATAGATCTTTATTTACTATATACGCTATAAGCAAATTTTACCTGTCGCGGTAATTGTGTTTTCCTACTTAGATGTTAGACATTTATTTTGTATTTAAAGTCATAGAAACTTATAATGATAATTTATTCTTTGAGTTTGATTTCCAAGCTGAATAAGAAAAGTCATGTGTATCGGATTAAACCAAGGTAATAAAGTGGTGGCACAGCGGTTAAGCTGCTCAATTCTCATCCACTAAGTCATGTATTCGAACCCCTTTCCACTTGCTTCGGTTAGGGCAACTGAATAGTATCATTAGCCTCTACATTTAGAGTGTGGCTCATAGTCAAGTACACAATATGTACCTGGTAAATGAGTTACCAGATAGTTAATAAACTGTTTCATATTAAACTGTGTCACCTATAAGTAATATTTTTCATCTTTTTTCCACGTTGATGAGGAAAATATTCCACGAAGAGGAGAGGCTAAGCTTATTCTAATTTGTATATTTTTTATTATCTCGAATCAAGTGATTAACAACTTAGTAATAAACTTTCCCTCTTCATTAAAATTCTTGTAAATTTGTAAAAGTCCTGAGTCATAACAACCCACAAAGGTATTGATATGATGTTATGGAAAAATCTTTGCACAAATACAAATGCACTCCAGGTATTTCTTATAAATCAACTTGATTCCGTCAACATTCTCTAGTTTATTGGACATCTGTAAATTATGCTCAGTTTCGGGGTACAGTGATTTTGTAATGCTGCCGAAAGCTATCTTCAACTCCTTGAGGATGTTACATCTGGGAGGAAGGATGTTCTTGACATTTTTCTGCTGTTTGTCCAGTGTATGTTTAGCTTCAGTTTTCTCTTGGCTACCACCACGTGGTGATCTAAAGCTGTGTCAACTCCTCCCATTGTCCTTACATTTTGCGTGAACCTTCTGAACGTTTTATCGATGAAGATGTGATCGATCTGGCTTTCCGAAGTGTAGTTCAATGAAGGCTTTGTAGGTTTGTGTATGCGTTTGTGGGGAAAATTGTCGTATCTATAACCGTGTTGTTGAAAGTTGATAGACCCATCGATGTTTCGTCACTGTCGATCCTGACGTTAGAGTTTAAGTCTCCGATGAGAATGGTCAAGTGTTTTCCTGGTCATTTGTCTACGATGAATTCCATAGTCTAACGAAAGTGATTTTCATGATATTCGGTTGGATGAATGATGGGTGTGTAGTTGTGGACGACATTGGTTGTGATAGTTTTGTTCTTTATTTTGAAGGATTCTTTGATGATTCTGGATGCATGAGTTTGCCATCGTGTAGGGGATTCTTGTACTTCTTTATAGAGTATCTCTACAAGTCACTGTGTGTTGTGTAGCATCGTCATATGTGGGTAATATTTTCAAGACGTGTTTGATGAAGTATCAGCAATTTACACATTTCATACATCCAAATATCACTTATTGTTATACCTTTGTTGGCTTCGTGTATACCAATATTGTTTTCTTTGTTTTGAAGGATTCTTTTATGATTCTGGATCGATGAGTTTGCCATCGTGTAGGGGATTCTTGTGCTTCTTTGTAGAGCAACGTTGCAATTCGTTGTGTGTGTATAGGAGCATTTCCCTTCTCATTATTAGAATACAATAACCTCTCTCCTGAACTTTGTCTTTTCTGTGCAGATTGTGTTTAATGTGTTTCATCTTTTCCAAGCAACGTTTAGGTTATGTCTTCGCATTTCTGTCACTGTTTGAATGATCCTTCCAGTCCCACATTTTCCAGACATTCCATGCATCTATATTAATTGTTACTGTGGTTGTCAAATTTGGCATCGACCTCTTGACGTGCGATGAATCTTGACCCTCATCATGAGGTGTCTTAATTCATATGAGAAGGCTCTCCAATTCTCAGGGGAGACTTTAAATAGCTTTTTCTGGCTAATAATTTTTAGTGGGGTGCTTATTTGCGGGATGGGGCTACTAACCATACTCCTAATCTTCTTCCTCCAGCCTGGCTTAGGATTGGCGGTTTCATGAGTGTTACATATCCGCGATGTATTTAGTTGGAATTAATATTGCTGACTTTCTGTTTAAGGAAGTACGGTTTTTCATGGATTCTGTTCGTTATTTTCCACATACTTTTAGCTATAATCTACCCCTTCCACTACAGTTATAAAAATTAACCTTACGATACGATTCCCAAAGATTAAGCCTTACAATCAAGCCTTAATCGATTGGAACATGAATAACCTACAAGCTAATTCCGTCCAATCACCTAAGACATTTGATCATATCTATTTTGTGTTTATATTTTGCACGTAACCATGTTGTTTGTTACGTAACGAAGACTTATTCGTCCAACTATTAGGCTTTGGTTTCGAAACATTCGGGAGCCTGAGAAAATAATACGGTCTCGTGTGTAGCCATTACTCGCTCACGTTATATAATTGCCTTCATCTATCGATTAGTATTCCAACAATCGGATATTTCATCTAATCAAATCGCCACGGGAAACCTCCTCTATAACAACCCAATTACTTTAGGGAAATTCTTTAAAATCGTATAATTACATCTGAATCATAAATCCTCATTTCAGCCTGAAATATTATTAAAATGTATACCAACTTTTTTTGCTAGATTCTTGTGATACTCGATCAGTTCTGGATTGTATTAAAGTTTTAATGTCCGAAGCTGACTCAAGAATATTCAGTCGTATTGAACCGAACAAGTGTATTTCCAAACTGGCTGATGATGCTTTTGCTACAGGTCGTTTTATTCTTCAATTGTTGCGTATTTTTGGAGTTGCTGATCACACTGCCGTTGCTGCTGGTTCTCCGGTGCCATCTGGAGCTATCATAGCCGGTGGTAAAGTTCCAGAACATCATGAAAGTATTCCTTTAAGAGAAGCTGATGAAAGTGCATTTGGTTTTCGTAGTTGGCTTTCTCTCGATACGCTAACTGAAGAACGTCTAATATCCAGTGTACATAAGTCGTTGGAAGCTAGTTCCAATTTCATCCAAGCTATTATTCATGAAGGTTAGTTTTGTTACTTTATATTATAACGAAGAAATGATTAACCATTTGTTGCGAGATTATACGATACGATATAACACTATCCGTATGAATCGGTTAGACTTGACCACTAGATTATTTTACGCTAACAATTCCGAACTTGGTTATAGAGAGAGAATGATTTATTCATTTGAAATGCAGTCAACCACGGTTTAATCTAAATAGAAATCTCGGGTGAATCAGAGTTGATATACGATCATCACTTCTATTATTAATTACTGCGGTGGATGTCTATTTTTTCTAAATAAACTAATTACCTCTCATATCACTTTATTAAAACATTTGTTTTTTCATCTGGTCAGTAATATAAGGATTATGTATTCATTCCAAACTACTGTTCTTGACTAAAAATCTACAATTCGTTTCCTAGTCTAACTCAGTTTCCATCAAAAATAGTTTTCATCACTTTGGCTGGATATAATATTGTTGTGAGTTGGATAGACTACTCTACATAGTGTTGGACATACGTTTTTCATGATGTCCCTCATTGATTTAATCATATTATTTCCAACCAGCAGTTTAAAAGTCTTAATCACACTTCATTTAATACAGTTTATTCGATTGAACAGCACTGTTCGTCCCTAGTTTGTGCACTTAATTTGACGCTAATCATCATTTGGTTGCTAAATTTGGTTATTTTTTTTAGCTATGGGTACTTGGGATCTTGAGAAAATGAATATTCCTCGTATGATTAAACTTATATCACCCAGTTTCACAATCTGAGGCTACCCTTGAGCTACTTAGGCATTGAAAGTCTCCTAACCGCCTAAAAATAAACTGAGACTAATGACATAGAAAAAAAACAGTCTGTCTTTACGAACTAGTTATGTGGTATGTTCTTAGTATGTGAGGCCTTTGTTGGCCGTTTTAGCCTATTCCTTATCTGAATGGTTACTCCTTGACAAAACCACGCTTCATGTTTCAGATGAAGTTATATATTTTCGAGATTTTTAGCACAGGACGAGCATATATGTCTTCGGATGTTGGGGTCGCCACATCAGCACTTATTGTCACCTATTCACCTCAACTGTGGAACGCAGTTATGGCATGTAATTGACGCTTGTTTTCATTGGTTATTCTATTCTGTAAACTGGAATTCAATTACTGAAGACTGAGATTATGTATATTACCCTTTAATGTATAAAAGAGTTGTTTATTGTCGATCATTAGTATTCATAGTTAAGAATGAAAAAGTCTCTTGTATCGGTTCAATGTTTTGAAAGGTCGTTAGTTAAATAACACTAGAAAAGTATTTTTTCGTGAAGCAAATATTTTATATGAATTTCCCAGGTGACACATTTAAGGAGATTGTGGATACTTTCGCCTATGAAGTGCAGAAACAGTATGGAATTGATATATTTAATGTGCAATCAGACGGAAGGCGTAAGTTTTCAGTTATATGTTCTGGTATTCTGAGTTAATTGTTACGTGTGATTGTATTGATGCTGTTTTTTTATAAGACTTAGGAATTATATCTTTTGGCTTTGTTATATTTTCGCTCTTACGGTTATAACCCAGCTATTCCTATTGCTTAGTATTCACGGACACAGATTCACTCGACAAGGCCCCAAATCAGAACACGATTGAGCAGGAAGGAGATTATATTCCAAATAACAAGGTTAGGTGGAAGCAAGAAGCAAAATAGGAAAACCGTTAGTATATTTATAGCTTTTTACATAAGAAGAATCTAGAAGCTTCTCCATGTATCGACTAGCGCTGATTGGATAAGAATCAGCCAATCAGCGTGCGCCAAAGCAATCGTGCATTGAGCATGCTTAAATCCAATCTATGTCCCACTAACACCTCCCCTTTGAGCAGATTCGTAGGATCTGGTGCTAGGGTCCAACTGCAACCGAGTGACTGGCCTGTGCTTTCGATTTGTCCATCGTCTAGGCAATAAAGAAGTATCACTCTTTGCTTGCACAGAAACTGACCTGTCTGTTCCAGGCGTTTTGACTTCAAAGGTGTCTAGTAGAACACCAAGAGGTAATCGATATTGAATCTCGTTGCTGGCTATCGAAGTTGCTTTCAATTGGTTAGCATGACGTACCCAAACTTCTGAGCCAACTGACACCTCATAAACCACACTCCCCTTCTTTTTCAAGATCCGACCAGCTGTCCATGTAGGATGTTTCTCACGATAGTCCATAGCAAGTACTTTTTGTCCCACCGTGAACAATCGTTTTTGTGCCCCATGATGTCGATTGAACTGATTCTCCATAGATAGGTTTCGTTGAGGCTCAAGAGCTGGCGTAGGACGGATGACATCGAAATGTGTTCGTATTTTTCTGCCAAGTAGAGCTTCTGCTGGAGAGACCCCCTTAATCGTCTGAGGGTTCAGTGTAGAGCGATAAATAAGCAGGAACCTCTCTAAGATCTCTTCGGTGGTCCCCTCCCCTTTAGATTTTTTTAGAGCATTTTTAAATGTACTCACAAAGCGTTCCACTTGACCATTTGATTGGGGATGGAATGGAGGTGTTCGGAGGTGATGGATTCCGTTCTGCCGACAAAATTGTGAGAAAATTACGGACGTAAACTGTGTTCCGTTGTCACTAACTATCGATTCCGGGACTCGGAAACGACTGAATAGTTGACGTAGCTTACTGACTGTGCAGCTTGCAGTCGGATGTTTCATGAGAAAGATTTCTGGCCACTTGCTATATGCATCAACTACCAAGAGGTAAGTTTGTCCATGAAGTGGACCAGCAAAGTCCAAGTGTATACGCTGCCACGGTGACTGTGGTATTGGCCATGATTGCAGCTCTGCTTTTCGCGGTGCTTTCGTTGCTAATGCACATTTGGTACATGAACGGGATAGCTGCTCCAGTTGGGTGTCTAAATGCGGCCAGTATACATAACTTCGTGCTAATGCTTTCATGCGATTTATTCCAGGATGTCCTGCGTGCAACTGTTCAAGCACTGCTGGTTGTAGCTTCTTTGGGATTATGACACGTTCGGCAAACAGCAGGCAGTCGTCGATGATTGAGAGAGAGAATCTACGCTGGTAAAACTGTTGAAGATCTGTGGAACTGATCTTCGCGGGCCATCCTTCCAGGTGGAACTTTCTAACTTCTTGTAGAATCGGGTCTCGAAGAGTTTCTTCTCCGACTTCATCTGACGACACTGGAGTGTTTCGAATGGCATCTGCCACTATACTTCGTATTTCTGGGTCTACTGCTATGGAGGCAATGATTATATCCTCTGGTCCAGGATGCTGAACTCCAATTAATCGAGAGAGAGCGTCGGCTTGACCGATAGTATTTGTCGACTGATACTTGATATTGAAATCATAACTCAGGAGCATTGTTGCCCAGCGCTGTAGTCTATTAGCCGTATAGACAGGGATTCCTTTCTTAGAACCAAAGATTGCAATCAAAGGTTTGTGATCTGTCAGTAGAGTAAATGTACGACCATAGAGCATTTTATGAAATCTTTTGACAGCGAAAACGATTGCAAGAGCTTCCTTTTCAATCTGACTGTAGTTCCGCTCGGCTGGGGTAAGTGATCTAGCAGCATGGGCAATTGTCTTTTCTGATTTGTCCGGAAACACGTGAGATATCACTGCTCCAACTCCATGACTAGATGCATCAGATGCAACAACGATTTCCAAGCTGGGATCGAAGTGTGTCAAAAGAATCTTTGAGCTGAGCATTGATTTGACTCTGTCGAAAGATGCTTGACATTCTGCTGACCACTGCCAAGATTTATCTTTTGATAGTAATTCATTCAGGGCACCTCTCACTCGATGCATTTCAGGCAAGAATGTGCTATAATGACTGATTAACCCCAAGAAGGATCTTAATGAAGAGACATCAGTTGGTGCAGGCATCTTCTGAATGGCTTCGATGTTGGCAGGGTCTGGTCGGCGACCGTTCTTATCTAAGATAAAACCAAGGTATTTGATGGAATGCATAAAGAAAATACACTTTTCCTCACGTAGTTGGAAACCATGTTCCAACACTCGGTTAAGGACTTGATGTAGTCGATCAGAAAGTTCATTGTCAGTTGAACCCATAACTATGATATCATCTAGATAAGCTGCTGTACCAGGTATACCTGTTAGCATCGTATCCATTATTTGCTGAAAGATGGCAGGTGCAGTCTTGATGCCAAATGGTAGACGGGTGTATTGAAATAACCCTCGATGAGTGTTAATGGTCAAAAGCTCTCTACTGTCTTCATCTACTTCTACTTGCAGATAGGCATCGGAAAAGTCTATTTTTGCGAAACATGTCCCACCATTAAGTTTGGCAAACAGGTCTTCAGGGACTGGTAACGGATATTGATACACATCTAATGCAGCATTTAAACCGGTCGAGAAGTCGGCACATATGCGTATAGTTCCATTGGCCTTCTTAATCACTACGATCGGTGCGGCCTATGCAGAGTAGTTGACTGGTTGGATTACACCAGCCTGTTGCAAGTTCCTGATCTACTAACTCAAGAGCAGCATATGGTACAGGACGTCTAGGACGAAAAATAGGTTTGGCATCTGGTTTCAGTGGTAAATGAGCTTTCATCTTGGTACAGTGGCCAAGGCTATTCTGAAAAACAGAGGCAAACTTTCTTTTCAGTTTTTCTAGTAACTTTTGACCTGTCTTCTTTGCAAGTACTGGGGTGTCTAATGATGAACACAATACGTTGCAGACACTGTTAATCGGTACATCCATTATTCCAAGTTTATCTAACATATCTAGACCAAAAAGATCAAGGTTTGGCCGTTCTGTTAGGTAACATATTCCTGTACAGTTAGTTCCATTGAAGGAAAATTCACACTGTAATTCACCAACCAGTTTTAGCACACCACCTGATGCATTTTTGGCCGTTTTCTTAGATGGCTTCATTGGCGGTTTACCTAGCAAGTTATACGTTTCTCTAGATACTAAGGTGATATCTGATGCCGTGTCAATTTGAAGACGAGCTGATATGCCGTTTATCTGGATGGTAACATAATTTCTCCGAATGTCATAATTTGTTTGAAAGGCAGCTACCAGAGAAAGAGATTTAAACTCGGCTGATTTCACATGTCGAGAACGTTTATGCTTCTTTTTGGGATGAGACGTATGGTTCGGTGGACAATGACCTTCTTTATGTCCACGTTTGTTGCACACCTGACATATATGCTTTTTAAATGGACAGAATCGTACATAATGCCAATCACCACATAACCAGCATGCAGTCGTTGGTTTGTTACGAGTTGTTATCGGCCTCTTAACTTTTAACCTAGTAATAGCATTGACACTACTGCAGGTTAAATTAGGATTTACCTGTTCAATCAACTCGTTGTCGTGTCTGATGCTTTGTAGCCGCTTACACTCATCTGTTAACGTTCTGAGTGTGACGTTTGGGTCCTGATCTAGTCGAGTCAAAAGTCTAGTCCTGATCTCAGCATCTTGTGGTGACTGAAGAGCTTTGATGAATATTAGGCATTTAAATTGGTCTTCTGTCAACGAGCGTAACTTGAACCGTTCACATTCTCTGGTGACGATGTCTGCTAGAACACCATATTCATCGCCTTCGCGTTTCACCAAATTTAGACACTGGTGTCGAATACTAAACAATGAGGAGGATTCACCGAATATCTCTGACAATTGAATTATCGTCTCCTCGAAACTGAGATCTCGAGGTAACTTTAGCAATATATGGTCAGCATAGCGTGCATGTTCATTAATTCCCAACTTACGTACAATCGAGTCTTCCACGCGTCGTCTTGGTTACAGAATTCTATTCTAAATGTATCTTCCCAACGTTTGAACCACGTGAGAAAAGTATTTCCGCTTTCGGGATCATAGATGAATTCTGGTATGCTGCTAGCAACTGCATCACAAGACGTACTTGAAATGGCATGTGAACTCGAGCAGTGGAAGCTAAGCTGTTGAGTCAGAGTCTCTAACAACCGCATTTGTGCATCTAATTGTTGTTGCTGTTGTTGTAGTATTCGGTTAAGCTGGTCATCTGATATGGACATATTGAATTTATTTTCCTTTTTCCTCGTCGCCACTGTTATATTTTCGCTCTTACGGTTATAACCCAGCTATTCCTATTGCTTAGTATTCACGGACACAGATTCACTCGACAAGGCCCCAAATCAGAACACGATTGAGCAGGAAGGAGATTATATTCCAAATAACAAGGTTAGGTGGAAGCAAGAAGCAAAATAGGAAAACCGTTAGTATATTTATAGCTTTTTACATAAGAAGAATCTAGAAGCTTCTCCATGTATCGACTAGCGCTGATTGGATAAGAATCAGCCAATCAGCGTGCGCCAAAGCAATCGTGCATTGAGCATGCTTAAATCCAATCTATGTCCCACTAACAGGCTTATAGTTAATTAATTAAGTATAACCATATTTATTATTGTGGAATGTGAAGGTACATCCGACTGGTCTGTCGTAAATAGTTTAAGACGCGCGTCCTGGATTCTATCGCTAGCCACAATCTCTGCTTAAAAGATGCTTGTGACTTAATGACACACAGGATGCAAATATGCCAAGAAGAGATTGATCCACTGGTTATAATAATAACCCGTACCCCAATTAGGTAGTCTTCACTTACATACATGGTTCAGTCCAACAGTCAGTATCTTCGTAGACTGATACCATGTATTGGTTTGGACGTCTCTAGCTTTCTTTCAATTTACTCTTTTTCCTGTCCATCATCGCGCGTTGAGGTAGTCGGTGCATGGGTATACGTAATACATATCTTTAGCATTTCAGTCGATAAAGTTTCACTAATTTATCAATCGACTTGCCATCCTTACCTAGTGCTCTATGTGTAACTTGAGAATTGTTAACTTTATGGTCCCAAAAGACGCAAACGCTAGTTTGAATACATCTGTAATAGCATACCAGTTACAAGTGTTTAAGAACCCCTAATCAGTGTAAATATTTTCGGTTTGTAGATTATTATTGTTTCATCTACGTCATCATCAACGCATTCATCACATATGTCGATACATCAAAATTAGTAAGGTCAAAGCTAAGTTGGTAAATAGTTGAAATATATCATTGTACCAATTTTCATTAAATAGTGAGCTTATAATTACCAAATATTTCCTTCACTGATACATTTTAATAGCAAAAAACTTTATCCATAGCTTTCTTCGAAGCATTGCTCGTATATCCTGGGACCACCGAGTAAGTAATGCAGTTGTTAGGATACGGGTACTATGTAAGGATGGCAAATCAATTGATGAAGTAGTGAAACTTGATCAGTTGAGATGGCTGGGACACGTGTTATGTATGCCCAACCACCGACTGCCCCAACGAGCGATGATAGCCGGTAAAAGAGTAGATTGCAAGAAAGCTAGATGCGTCCAAACCAAATCATGGCACGAATCCATGAAGTCACTGATAAGTGGACTGAGTCATGTTGTTAGGTGTAGACTACCTGGCTGGGATCCACGAGACGATAGCAACTAATGGTCAGAGACCTTGAATAACATGGCTCAAAGTCGTTTGCAATGGCGCAGGTGCATTCACTTTTTGTGTTCTCTCAAATTCTAATCTAAATTCTTCATCTCCTTTTTTTTCTCTTTCCAAATTTATTTCAATGGATTATACTCCTTGAATAACATCTTCGAACCCTGATCTTTCCGATTACTACTTATACTTTTACTACCTCTTCCACTATGGGATTTGGTCGACAAATGTATCTCTATGCTAACATGATATAACAACTTAAACTGATGTACGTACGTACGAAGTTCTACGTTGTTGCTGACTGACTGGCCGACTGTATCTATTGTGATCCCTGCAATACTTTAACAATCATGTACAAATTTCATAACAATCTGTTCCAACTAAGTAAAATTAATCTGTCTAGTTCTATGTTATAAATAAAAAACTCTTATTTAAGATTAGGAGTTGATTGTATATCAATTTATTGTATTGGTCAATGTTGTTGTTAGTTAATAACAACAATGATATTCACTATTCATTGTTTATTAAATTAATCTGTTTATGTATGTTTCGTAGGATTTATTATGATATCTCAATTTATATTTACCAGTAATATTCAAAACTTTAGTCACTTTTAGTAATGAAGAATGTTTATTATTTATGAAATTAGTTTATTGAATGCTAATCAATTTAATAGTATACGTAATTGCTAGTCGGTTATGAATATGCAATAAAACAAACTGACTGATTGTTAACTCCTTATGAGACTAAATTATTGACATAAACTCTCAATTGGTTTTAAATTAAAAAACAACAAGTACCCAGTTGAATAGGTTTTTTTATCGAATAAAGTAACATGTTTATATATATATTCTGAATAGATCCTTATTTCTATATTACTCTTTTCTCTTTAATAGAATCTTTGGAATGCATTTTGAAAACTACCAATCAAGCTAGTCTTTCTGAATCGACGTGCATACCACATGGATTAGAAATTAATGTTTGGCCAGTTGTTCTTAATTTTCTTCATACACTTATTTCTATAAGAAATACAGTAAGAAAGATTCTATCCTCAGGCTCCATAACTGATTCTTTATGCAAGAAACGGTTATATGAAGCATGTGATCGTTTTCGTGATATTGATCTTGTTAATGCAGGAATTCGGCTTCAGGATCGAGCTACAGCAATTGATCTTAGTCGTGGTTTAGATATTTCACCTTTCATTGGATTAGTTGATAAGAAATTTTTGATAAGTGAGCATTCAGAAAGTAAAACAAAGGTAATTATGAAAAGTCACGTATTATTACTGTCTATTTAAGCTTGCTAGTTTTGTTCACTTAAAAATTTCAGATTCTTCTCATACGTTCGTCCATACATTGTTCAGTTCAACTGTTTTAATTCATTAATTGATAAACGTACCAAGTGTGAGATATGTTTTGATTAGATGTACACTTTCATGTAGAAGGTAAATTAATCAGTGTGGTTTTAGTGTTGCATCAACTGAACATGTACTACCCTAACCTAGTTAATCCTAGAGTTGATATTAGTTGTTGATTGACATACTTAATTACTTACTTACACCTGTTACCCCTCGTGAAGGAGCATAGGCCTCTCACCAACATTCTCCATTTAACTCTGTCCTGGGAAATCCTTTCAAGCTGCTATTCATCCTATTCATGTCTGTTTTCGATTCCCAGTACAGTGTGTTCTTTGGCCTTCCCCTTCCCCCTTTTCCTTCTGGATTCCAAGTCAGCGCTTGCTTCGTGATGCTGTTTAATGAATTCCTCAATATGTGTTGTTCACTTCCAACGTCTTTTACTAATTTTCTATTCAACTGGAAACCGGTTTATTCTCTCCTACAGTAGGCTGTTGCTGATGGTATACAGCCAACGGACATTCCGTATCTTCTATAGACAATTGCTTATAAATACTTTTACCTTTTTGATGATGGTTGTGGTAGTTCTCCAAGTTTCAGCTCCATACAGTAGAACTGTCTTGACGTTCGTATTTAACGTTATGACTCCGTTGTTGGCTGACAGTCGTTTTGAGTTCCATATGTTCTTCAACTGTAGGAATGTTTTCCTTGTTTTGCCGATCCTTTCCTTTGCGTTTGCATCAGATTCTCCACGTTCATCGATGATGCTACACAGATACGTGCAACTTCCCACCTCTTCCAGAGTTTCTCCATCAAATGTGATTGGGTTGGTGTTCTCTGTGTTGTATTTGATGATGTTGCTTTTTCCCTTGTATATGTTGAGGCCTACCAATGCAGAGGCTGCTGCTACACTTTTTGCCTTTCACTGGATTTGTTCGTCTGTATGGGATAAAAGGATCAGGTCATCTGTAAAGTCGGAATCGTCTAGCTGCATCCAAGCTGTCCATCGCATTCCGTACTTCCCCTCAGATATGGAGGTCTTCATAATCCACTGAACTATCAGGAGATAGAGAAAGGGGGAGAGTAAGCAGCCTTGTCTGACTCCGGTCCTTACTTGGAATGCGTCTGTCAGCTGTCCGTTGATTGATATAAAATCGAAATAATTTAAAAATATGGTTAGATGAATTAAGTTGCCATTGTACCAGAGTTGTTTCCCTTTTTATTTCATCTTCTCTCTTCCACGATCAACGACAGGTCATTTATCCGATTATTCTGTAAATTATTCGTTTCCCTTCTTTGATGATGTAACACAGGTTTTTTGGTCTCTTCCTCTGAGTTAACTTACCAATATTTTATTATTATTTAACGGATTTATCCCAAAACAAAAAAAACCTGTTTTCTGTTTATTTTCTCGCACTCTCTTATCTTCTAGAATGTATTAGTACCCACTGAATTCATTTAAATTATTCACTGTATTTCAAGATGAATTAAATCTCTACCAATTTATGTTTAACTGAGAATCTGATGTGTAATTTACATTCTAGTGATTAACTTAACAGTATAATAGGTCATTAAAAAAAAGTCTTTTATAATGTTACTAACATTTTACGCTTTTAAATCTTCCCACATCCTATTGTTTTGTTTATATATGTTTCCACACTGATATTGTATCTACTTGTCTCTCTTATAGGTTTTATTTTAGCAGGATTCTTTGTCATTTCATCAGTCTTTATTCGTTAAGAAACCATATTATTTAGGTTTCAATATGTATTTCATATTTTTTAATTAGGCATAGGATAATTAATATGTTTTCTGTTTGTCCCATTAATTTTTGCACTGTACTGTACTGAATTATGTAAACAAATGACGGTTTATATGCTTTATATGGATTTCATAAATTCTACTACTATTATTTACGATTAAGCTTTTGCTTTGTAATTTAAATCCTTGCACTAAAAGTATTCCATGGACAAACAGTCTGTATATTCCTCCTAATAATCTTTGCTTTTCCATTATCAGCTGTTTTATTCACCGATGGACCAAATATAAAGATTGGTTGTATCTTATCGTTATCTTTTGAGCAGATAATAAACACTCTGTTTTCCCGCTTCGGTATTTCGTACTTTAGACCAAGCACACTTGAAGTATTATAATTGTTGTATTTTAGGAATAAAAAACATTAGGAAAAACTAAGAAAAATTCATTTACATTCACACTATAAAATTTACTTATCACAATACATGTAACGTAATAAAGGAACAGTTTATCATTCACTAACTTAGGGCATATTTTGTTCGATTTTATCGTCATAAAACTGATCAGTTTCAATGACTAACTATCAATAAATTGTTCTCTGTTTTATATTTTCCTCGTTTAGCGTGTTGAAACAAAAGTTATCAAAGAAAGTGTTAAACAAGAAACTGGACATATACCACCTTGGGAGCTTTTCCTATCTGAAGTGGATAAATATTCAAAATTCGATTCTAAGGTAAATACGGTTATTTGTCTATCTTTGATTAAAGTTATTCATAATATTACTAGTCTGAGAATTGTTACTCATATGAACAAGTGCATTTCTGTATAAAACAATCCATTCCCTACTTTAATACTAAAGTTTACGCTCATTTTGTATCTGCATGTGCTTGTACAAATTTGATGGGCTTCATAACAATTTGTTTTTTGCTCGATCCAATGAATTTTGCACATATGTACTACTCTAATGTATTAAATTCACTAATTCATTAACTAGATTATTCCATCGAATTTCATATCTTTTATCGATATGTGTTTGTGAAGATTGTTGAATGTTACTGAAATTATGAACCGATCTGGATTAGACAATTATTTTAAATCAGGAAGCTCTAAACAGCTGTTTCATCTTTGTATGAGGTTCTTCAGGAATGGAAATGTACAATCTCGCCACTGCAGATTGAATTCAGAAATTCGATTAATGGTTTTCGTCACGAACTAACATAAGCTATAATGCCAAAATGATATTTAACTAAGTGAGTGAATGAACTTCGCACTGAAATCCATGACCTGTTATCTTAAATGTAATTGATTCGTCGATAAATTATAGTCTCGCCAAAATATTTATCAGTTATACTATCTTCATGTTTTTTTTTCGATATCATAAGTTTTCTAAAGTTAATTTTTTATTTAATAAATATAGGGTATGCCTACACATGATGCATCAGGAAATGAATTATCTAAAAGTGCTTTGAAAAAATTACAAAAATTGTATATTGCACAAGAGAAACGTCATGCAGCATTTTTAAAAAGTAAAGAATAATGTAAACGTTTAAAATAAATAAAACCTAGTCACTTTTTGTATTAACCATGTTTGGTGTGTTGCTCCCCCCCCCCAATTTTTTTTCAAAATCTTTACTTCATTCTTCGTAAACATTGTTCCATTTTCATTGAATGTGTATATTGAATTGTGAATGATGTTTGTTTTCGATATATTTGAGGATTTCAATGTAGTTTTCATTTTGATTTTTTCTATCTTTGAGACGGATATTTTGTATATTTTTTTTAGTTAACAGTTTGTAAAAATAAAACCATCTTAGGGGGATTCTGTCTACACTTTATGTATCTACATTTGCTATCTATGATATATTATTAGTTTCTACATAGATATCATTGTTGAAAGTGTAGAATGTGTTTTGTTTTCTTCATTTAGCATTAATAATGGTTATATATGTATATTTGTGTAAGGAAATGAGAAGCAATTTAAGACAAAGTAATTAAGAAGAAAACAGTTGACGATGTTGAATCGATTATTTTAATCTGAAAGCAAGTAAATGAAGACAAAATACCAATTCAATCATTATTTACAGTATATCAATCTAATTCGCTTTAAAATACTATCCATTGGTAGGAACATATTTGTCCCATTCATCTCTGATTCCATTTATCAAAAAAAGTTCTAAACATTCTTAGAAATTAGACTTGATATTGTACTCATGGTGACTCTTCCAACCAAGCTTAGTTAGTGAAGTTGGTAGGCCCTTCTTGAGAAGAGGTGCACATTGAAGCATGGCCCGACTACCGGGCGGCAATAGTTATTTTTTTTATCTTATTTCCTGCTCAGTGATCGCTGACCTTTGATGTACCACGTAAAAGTGATTGATTATACTTTTTCATGTTGGAAGCATCTTCTTACATTCATTGCACGGGGAATTCTGTACTTTGTATCTTTCGTTTTGTACGTTGTGTTGTGTTTCGAGTATTAGAGTTCATGTGTTTTGTCATTTAGATATTTTAAATGTCTTGTGTGTGTTGGAAAATATCACTTTAGTCATCCTGCAGTCTTATACATTTTGTTGCGATCAGCTAGCGGAAATTTGTGTTGTTCCGTTTATATGGTGATTGTGGTATTTAATTTGTGATAGTTTCTGAAATGTCTATTTATCTCCTTAACTGTAGTAAATAGTCGGTGACAATATTGATTTATGCACTTGTGTATGAGTTGTCTTTGCCTGATTGGTTTCGGTTTGTGTTCTTCATTTTTGTCTATTTTCGAATTTACTGGGTTTCTTCATCCAGCTTGCTTGTAGTTTGCCTCGCACTTTTTCAATGTCGAGACTAAGTTGTTTCTGCCAGTTTTTTATGTGAGTCCTTCTATTGTTGTTTGAGCCACTTATTCGGCTTAAGATCTCATCATTAGGTTGTTTGGTCTTCTGTGTGCAGTATACTACAGGTTAAAGCTGTTCTGCAGCACTTTCGTATCTATATTTGGTCATGTTATTCTATTGTGCAGTTGATCTATCGTCTTTTTGTCGGTTGTTTAGACACAAGATCATACGTTTGATGTGTTTCGGACTACTTCTAGCCCAATCCGGTCCTTTTTTCTTAGTACTACGAACTCAAACCCATAGGTTGTTATCGGGATTATCGAAGAATTCATCGTATTGCCATTCTTGTCACCGTTTTCGACTGTTCCTAGCAAACAAGGAAACTTTTCAGATGATGCAACATTTAGCTTTACGTTAATCTTGGGAGATTTATACACAGTTTTTTTTAGCTGCATGTGTTTAGATAGAATTATGCGCAGGTGATTTTACCAAATTTAGTTGTTCAATAATCATCCGGATATTCAAGCGGATCGGAAGGCACATCATTAGTTCTTTGCTCAAAACAGAAGATTGACTTTCGTTGACAACTGATAAACCTATCAGCTCAGTTCATTTGCTTGCTGAACAGATCTATCCTTACCAAAATGAAAAACAGGCTTTCGTAAATATAACTTTAAATTTTTTCCCTGGATAGGAGAATATATTCATTTTAACAGTTTTACACCCCCCAAATGATTGATTCGTAGCTAAATGCCTCGATCTTAAGACGCAATTTATTAGTTCTAATGTCTTCATTCAATGATAGTCTACGAAAACTAAAGGATACTTCGAATCAAAAAGATTGCCGTGCAATTTAATAATGAGATCCACGCTTGATTTAATCAGAATTATGTAACTAGACAGCAACAACAGAAGTGGTTTCTTAAAGGATGTACATTCCTAGTTATCTGTATGAGGTTAGCTGAAAGGATGTTATAAAAATCTATTGCTCAACAGTACTGGCAGCCAAATCATTAGTAATTTCAATTAATAGCTTGGTCAGTAAGTTAATTTAACTTATGCGTAATCGTTGGAGCTATTTACCAAGTCTATAGTTTACGACTAGGTTTGAAAATAATAAATCACCAGCTTTATAAACCTTGCATTTCAACATGCCGTTTTCTTACTAGTCAGTTGTAATCATGAATATGGATTGGGCCAAGTGGCTATGCCACATTAGGGCGACGAGATAAAATCGAAAAGATTAATAACGAGCAAAGCGAAATAATATGATGGCAATCATTGTGAGGTAGGCAAAGCGTTGAGAATATTGTTCGAAAAAACATTGAAGAGTCATGTGTGAAATAATATTGCAGCTCGAGATCTAAAGTAAGACAAATTGTGAATGCACCTACGGCGTCATAATCGACTGTAAGCCATATCACGCGACGTCTCCGACCGCTGACTCCTGTTATCTCACTGGCGCCAACCAGGTGGTCTGTACCTATCAATAAATTTCAGACCAACGGTCAGTAACTTTATAAAGTGATGCCGCTTTTCGGTTTGATTGTGTAATAGTTTATACAAGTTGGAAATAATTCACTAAAAAGTACGAGTTTTTCAGTTCTCTGTTTGATGGATGCCATAAAAAACGACTATGTATTAAACCAATGGATTTTTTCACAGTAGATATATCTGAATATTTCGATTGAAAACGTAAGCACCATACTTTTAGATACTATCTCTATAATTACATTTTTTCGGCTCCATACCTATCTGATTATTTCTGTTAGTATACTCTTTCCCATAGTGTAGACCTTATATCTAATCTTATGACCATCATTATTACATTATGGCCATTTTTGTAATAATTACTACCAGTGTTTTTTTAAGTAAAATTACTCTACATTTTCATTGTGGTTTTCATTCTTTTGACTACATCTAATCTATTAGTTATCGTAACCTAGTCTTTTCCCATTAATGGGCATGAAATATAAAACGTTCTTCATTGGCATGACGTAATATTAAGACCCAACTGACAACTGCCTTACAACCAGTGCTAATCTCGTAAATAGTTTCATCCTTTAAGTTTATACCCATTAAATCGTATACTTTGTGTTACCATGTGTATTCTTTTCATATTGAATTTTTCTGTATTTATGTTTAGAATGCAATTTGTTATTAAACAATTGGTGACTTGAACCCTTGATGATTAATTTATCTCTCGACAGGATAATTACAGATTCTTCTTAATTGGCATATACGCATCCCGTACGGGTTTCTTCGACATAGGCATTATGAAACAAGTTTATATAGAATAGATGCAATGTGGCTAGCAGTGGAATCCATGATGGGCGTTTTTCCCCGGGATTGATGTCGAATTCGGGATTCAAACCCAGTGCTTTTTGCCTCAAACGCTAACGCGTTATCTACTTAGCTACCGAGTCGATATAGCTACTCACTTGAGCGACGGGCATGGATTTTAATTTAATTTTTAATCAACAACAAGATAATCCGAACCATTACAAATTAAATAAGAATGAATATCCGTTGCATCAGTGAGAGCTATGTCGACTCAGTTGTTAATTAGATGACGTGTTGGCGTTTGATACTAAAGGTACTGGGTTCGAACATCGGGATCGAAATCAATCCTGGGATCTAAGTACTTTTAGCTGATGAGTCAAAAACACGACGAAACTAATACACTGAATTCTATTACTAACCTCATTTCATCTAATTTATATAAATGGTAGATACCAAAAGAATGACATCAAGAAACTTGGAATTCCATGGAAAGATTTCCTTTGAAACTATAAACTCTAAATATTTAGTTCCAAAGTGAAGAAAAAATAATACAGTGAATTAATTATGGCAACGTCATAAAGGATGTATTACCTAGTAACAAGGTGCACAATACAACAAAAGTTTTGCATTTCAACAGAATTTTCGTAAATAATGAAGGAGTGTCAAACAGTTAATAAAGTAACTATCCATCATTGTATTGAAAAAATAATCTAATCGTAATAGATATGTTTCGTCTGATTAATTGGATTTTGAATTATTAAGTAGTGATTCAGTAAAGCTCTATCTGAAAAATTATGAGTAAAATGATCAAAGGAATAGGGGAGATAGTTAAGGTAATGAATGTGTGCACGGACTATTTCAACCACCGAAGTTTCTGAAATAAAAATAAAGGGTCAAAGGTCAAGAGCTTAAGGTAAGTGTGAATTTGAAGTCCAATAGCTCACATCATCTCTCAATTTTGAGTCTGTTTGGAATGTAGCACAATAACCCTATCCAAGACTTTAAGATGTGGTTCCGATCTTTGGAGGAATCATGGACGCTCGCTGGTGAGGAGATCCAAAATAGAACGAATTAGCTGATTAGTATTTTCTGGTTTTCAGTGATATTCGAGACGATGGAAGCCCTTGACGAATACTACCCTAATAGACTGGGTTTTAAAAAGTAAGTATTAAGGCATGTTAGTATGACTCATTGGATATCATGTCCTGATAACTTTAGCAAAGTGTATCAAAGCTAACAGAAGTAAACAAAAGGTTATAATCAATAAAATAAACATCGAAAATGTGTGAAATTACGAAGTGAAGGACTACTCAAAGAAGATTTCATAAAGCCTTGTAAATCACAAAATTACATTAAAGTTATATTCTTATGTATTTTGCAGACAGTACAAAGTAATAAAGGAAACTAAACATCAACACTTTCTGAAGGCCAAACATACTGAGTTAAATAATGACGCTAAACTAATATGAGGAGTTAATCACAGTACTATAATAATTAATGGTTATATTTAGAACATATATAAGAAGCAAACATTTTGGTAAGGTTGGATTATTTTGAAGTTGGATAGCATATTTCATAAATATCTAACACAATGTGATAAGTATTAGATCACGTAATAAATTGGAATTCGACAGAATTCTCATTATTTTGAAATGATAGGGACAATGTGTAACTTAGGTGGATGACTTTGATGATGCTGAGTACTCTCAGCTAGATGCTTTATTTGCTTGGTCTTTATACTGGATAACATCTTCAATGCCGACTTTATGTAGGACTGAGCTTTATAGCCATTCTATATGTGTTATATCGGTTAATTTCAGTGACCTTGTTTGTGATTGTTTATATTCATATGTTTTTACCGTCTTAATTCGACTTTGTATTCACGTTGACCGTTTTTGTTGGTTGACATTTGGATTTGTGGTTTACTGACTTCTTTCGTATAGATTCATGATTTGGGTCCAAATTGGTGTGTCAGTTGATTGCTAATTAGTCCTTTACATATCTGGTCAGCATTATCAACAAATAAGTACTAATTGATGCACTTGTCAAAGCACAATATTAACAAAACAAGGGTAACATCATTCGAAGGATATCTGGAAATCAAAACAACTATCATCCAAAATAAAAGTCAGAATTTTTAACACCAACGTTAAGACAGTCCTATTGTACGGAGTCAAAACGTGGCGAACTTCCACAACCGTAATCAAAAATGTAAAGTTATTTACAAATAGCTGTATACACAAGATACTCAAGATCCATCAACCATAGATCCATTGACAGAATAAACCTGCTTTCAGGTGAGCAATTAGATGACACATGAGAGGGATAGAGCACACTTTGAGAAAGCTATTTAACTACACCATAAAAAAAATACTAACATGGAATCCCCAATTACATAGGAAGAGGGGCAAATAAAAGAACACGTTTCATCGGCAGTCGGATGCAGACAACAAAAGAACTGGACAGTAACAAATGTATTCAATTTGAAATAATATAATATTATTAGGATTATTCAATGTTATATTTTTGGTACCATATAGAATTCTCAGCGTGAAGTATTTCAAAAAGTTTCCGTTCCTTATTTCTTCATCGATCCTGACGATAAATATTGAGTGATCGCCAAATAGATGTTAGCAGTTCAGGAATGGACATTTGAATAATGTACATTCCTTTCGATATATATTGCCAGCAACCAGAATGTCTCTGATTATGCTCTTTCCTAACTTTGAGAGAGAAAGTTCGTGAACTTTTCACAAAC